TATTTTGAGATCGTTGTATACTCTGACCAACTGAACATGGTAACTTTCACTTCCTTCATAGTGTGTTCTAAGTGTTGTTTCAGTTATGCAATCAAAACTTCTGCTTGTGGTTTTTGCAGTATGTTGATCCTGTTATCGAAAGATTGGATCCAAAGCACTGCATCCGTTATAGGCTATCAAGAGGTGCAACTAGATATGTTGATGGCAAGCATTACAGAGTAGGTTTCTTAGCTTCATCCTCTAAATGTTCTAGATTAAGTCTTTGATTATTTAAATTTGTCACACTCTGTTCACTTAATAGCTGATCCTTGATATATGTTAACATTGTTTTAGTATGGCAGTTCTAATAGAAAATACCATTAATTGATTTAAGAAAAAGAGAGTGAGTAGAAGCATAATATTGATGTTGCATTGCATTAAGATATTTGATTAAAATTGAGAGTACAGGATAATGAAGAGCAAAAGGTGTCCTTCATCTGTATATGAGTAAATGAAATTTTGTGACAAGTATGTATTGCTTTTGCGCATTTGCTTCTTAAATCATCTCAAGTGGACAATTATGTACTTTGTATCTCCTTTTTTCGTCTTTCGCTGAAGACAGAGTGGGGGGTGTTATAGGAACTTAGGGGAGGCTTGATCAAGATTGAAAGAATCAAGAGGCATGAAAATTAAACAGGTTACGACTAGTTGATTTTTAGGAAGGCTGAAGGAGACAAATTGAAATACAGGATTCAGGAAGTAAAGTTAAGTTGTCCTTTGTCAGTTTTGCATAGTAAAATGTGATAGATTCCTATTCTACATCTCACTGAGAGGTTACAGCACAAAATACCCTGCTGAGCAAGGACCAAATCAGCTATGAATTTCACATATAGGCCGTGGTAATAGAAACTCCGTAAGAATCTAGACACTTGTAGACTTCTTTTACCATGCATAGTCGAAAGGCTTGAGCTTCTGGCTTAGTTGTCAAAAGATAGAGCATCTTTCTTTTTTTGAATTAGTGTGCAAATGCTGGCCTTCCTCTTAATAGGTTGTTTATCTCTTTACCCTAGCCTGTTGGAAACACTCAAAACATCTACAATTTGATCCCAGGGCTATTCTCATTCCTTGTCATCCTTGTAATGTAGATGTTTCTATCACCTGTATTCACTAGTGCATGTACATTCTCTGAGACATTCTTTAGCTTCTGTGAAAATCTATAAGATGTCTTTCTCGTTTTTTCTAGTCCTTTTAAAAAAAGTTCATTTTGCACATGTCTTCCCTTGTTCTACTTCTTGCAAATAGTAAAAATTGTGAATCCCTTTTTGGCGCGTGCTTCTTTGGCAGGATTTTTCCAAGCTAAATCGGGATCCATCGAGAATTATATATGTGAGTGGACATGCACTAGAAAGTAGCCTTCAGCCAGAAAATTGCATAGAAATAAAACCATGGAAAGGAGAGGCGGAGGATACTGTGCTTTTGGATCTTATTCCGTTTCTTGAATGTAAGCACATTCATAAGTACAACGTACCCTAATCTTGTCTTCACTTTTGGGAGTATGTCAAGGTCACTGTTAATGGCTTCTTATTTTTGAGTGCAGATGTTGCTAAACATAGGCCAGCTGATATCCGAACTGTATTAGCTTCATACCAAGGACGTGATATTCCTAAGGAGTTCATTGAGCGGTCCAAGGATTACCAAAGGTCAAGTTTTCCACTGTTGTATTTATTCGTTCTTGCTAGCTTAATTGCATTCCAGATCCTCAACACCTGGAACTTAGGATGCTTCTGATTTTTGTCTTGAATTTACTCATGAAGTTTGTCTCTTCATATCCTTCCCACGCCCTTTCTCCTCTTGAGAGAAACAAATGTTAGGAATACAAGACTTTATTGTTTGGGGTGGGGTGGGGTTACAGGTCTAATCTAACTTTACCTTGAACATTGGAAACATAAAGTGTTTCTTATTTGTCTCATAGTCCCCAATAGTTGTAGCCATTTGGGCTGCGACTTTTATATTCTCGCCTTTTTCTGCTTTCTCTTCTAGAGGTTGTTTTAATCCCCTTTTGCCCTAGTGGTGAGGGGTTGATGCATTTTTCCATATTTAGTATTCAGAGAGGTGGTAGTATTAACCCCTCCCCACCGCCCACCCCCCACAATAAAAAAGAAAAAAAAGAGAATGAAATGAGTGGTAGTTCGAAACTTAGTTGAAAAGAATGGTAAGTGGATTGAATGAGCTCCAAGAAGCATTGAATCTCCGTAAGGCACATACATTGTTTTTCCCAGGCTTCTAGTTAATTTATCTTGAAAGGTTCTCATTTATTTTGTTGGTAGGCTGTGCATTAGAGTTACAGTGGATATTTCTGTTAAAAGCATTTCTGGGAACTTTTTGTTTGATTGAGCATACTTGAGGTCTGCCACGCCCTAACTCAACAAACCTCTCTTCTTTCGAGCTGCAAACTGTGTGCCTCCTACTATATTCGCATCTGCACTCTGCTATAATAACTTCTCTTTCGTATTTCCAATACCGTGGACCTCTCTTCATTCAATTTTTTTTAATGTTTTTGACCCCTTATTGAAATTATAGTATATTTTTGCTTGATTTTCTTAACATAGTTGGTCTGGTGGTTGCAGGCGTATGCAAGAGCAAAAGCAGCATGGTCGATTCTGGCGCCGCTAGCGATAGGAGTTGATGTGAGTTGGTTTTGAGAGGCAGAAATAAAAATTAAAAAAAAAATTCCTTTGTAAGAGTAGAACAGTTGATAGAAGGACGTAAAACTATAATCCCATTTTTGTGTAGCTAAGAAAAAGGATTTGTCCCAGTTGAGAAAAGTTACAACATGACTATTCTTTTTCCCTTCCAGCAAAAGGCTTTTGTCATCACCTCTTCGCAATACTAGAGAATGACAATGTTTTGTTACCAGCTGGTTGCAGTCAGTACCTATTTTTTCTCTGAATTTTAGGACAGAGAGAGATATCATCGCATGATTCAACTGTCGTAATTCGCCGTATGAGGTTGACCTTTTCTCTTCCTTTGTCATGCTCATTAACATCTCATATACTCCATCCGTTTCAATTTAGACAGGTAGTTTGACTTGACACGGAAGAAAAGAAAGAAAACTTTTGAAACATGTGGTCTTAAAAGTTTAAGGAGTAAAAGCTTTGTGGGGTCATGACATTTTTGTGGTTATAAAAGCTTCTCAATAAGAGTAAAATGAAGAGTATAAAATTGAATTATTTTCTAATTTAGAAATATGTCATTTATTTTGGAACAGACTAAATAGGAAAGTACCTCATCTAATTTGAAACGGAGGGAGCAATTTCCAGCAAACATTGTTATAGCACTTTCAAAAACTTACTGTTTGGTACAATGGAAAATATTTTCTGGAAAACATCTTGTAGAAGAAATACTATCACTACTCTCTCTAACATTTTGAAACTATTTCAAAATGGACTAATAGGGGAATCGTATCTTCCCTTTTAATGGAGAATATTTATAAGAAAAATGTTTCTTGGTGTTTGATGGTAAGTGTTATTTTTTTGGAAACCAATTTTGTTTTACTTCGTATCACAAACAGATATCTTAAGTTGATGACACTGGAGGTAATTGTGCATATTTGAGCATGAATCACCATGTTAGTATTTGTAAGTATCAAATCTTAAAATCAGAATTTCAAGTGAAAATTAGTTTTAATGGGTATTTCAAGTGAAATGTTGCGAAATGATTTTTAACGTTCATAAACTTTTTTCTCGAGTTCGAGTCCTAACACAATTTCAACAATTATGAAGTTTAACTTCAATTGAAGTTATAAAATTCCGACCTTCGAGTTTGAAGTTAGGCTTTGGTAAAGTCTAACTTCAGACCTTAAGTTTGAATTTCATTTAAATTTTGGCAGAGCCTAGGTTTGAATTTGAAAACTTTAGACCCGCAAATTTCAACTTCAGACCAGCATGTCTCAAGTTAATTCTAAGGCGGCCAAATTTTAAAAACTTAAGGGGTTCTAAAATAGGCTATTTGTGCACTTCATAAACTTGGGCTGAAGAAGCAAATTGGAATGGGGATGGGAACTTATGAGGCCCAATTCTTTCTTCTTCTTTGGTTTTTTTGGCTGTTTTCTGCAAAATAATAAGTAGGAAAAAGAAAAAGCAAAACATGTTTATTTCTCTTTTTTGGATAAGCTCAGCTCTATCCCCATTGCTTATCACTGAGTAAAAGACCCAAATGGCAATTTCATCTTCTTCACTCTCAGCAGCTCTTTTTCCAGTGTGTAATTCGTCCACCATTTCATCCCAACCCAAGTTCTCTCTTCTTTCTTTGCCTTCAAATTCCGCTAAAACTAAAATACAGATTTTCAACCAATCAAAAGTGTCCACGTCTAAGGTTTTTGCTTCTCCAGAAGTCTTGGATGCCGAGAATGTCTCTGCTGATGTTGAGGTTTGTAATTTATTTGGCTAATTATCACTATACCAAACTATTTTAACCAAAAAATGTGCTTTCTTTTTGCATTATTGATGTTGGGTGTTCGTCATTTTTGCTTTCTTTTAGGATATTCCTGCTGCCTCGACGCTGAGTGTTGGTGTTGACGCTGATAAGGTAACCTTTTTTCTCTTCCTCTTTTTCCTCTGTGTGTGTATAAATGTGTGTGTGTGTGTTTAAAATTTTATGCTGCAGCCTTTGTGGAGATGTATTCTTCTTTTTAGCTGTTAAATTGTGAAATAGGATTGTTAAGTGTCCCACATTAGTGTAGAAATGGGGTTGTTATCTAGCTTTTGTTTGTTGAGTTATGCCTAAGGTCCATTTCTTTACATCGGACCAAAGCTAGACTCATTCCTATTCTTGATTTACATAATGTTGGGTCCCTGTGTTTTTTCTCTTCCTCTTTTTCCTCTCTCTGTGTGTGCGTGTGTGTATGTGTGTTTAAAATTTTATGCTGCAGCCTTTGTGAGAGATGTATTCTGCTTTTTAGCTTTTAAATTGTGAAATAGGATTGTTAAGTGTCCCACATTAGTGTAGAAATGGGTTGTTGTCTCCTTATATGGATTCATACAATCCTCACCTCTTGATCTAGCTTTTGTTTGTTGAGTTAGGCCCACTGTCCATTTCTTTACATCGGACCAAAGCTAAACTCATTTCTATTCTTGATTTACATAATGTTGGGTTCCTGTGTTATATTGTCCACGCTTCATATATGCGAATTCAGGATTTAAATTTAATGTGTTCAACTTTTAAGATTTTTAGCATTGAAATCGTTACATGTTTAAAAGTATGGGCTCAGATCTAATTTTTGTTAAGATATTAGTAGATTGAAAAATAGCAAAATAGCCTTTTGTTTTTTGTTTCTTTTTTGGTGTACTCACGAGGTCCCCATATGTATAGAGGATTGGGCATCTTTTCTTGAGAACCATATTTTGGTGTGGGTTCTCTTCTTTTTGATATATGGCTTGTATAGGGGGTTAGCCCCAATTGTTAATAATGTTATTTACCTTATCAAAAAGATATTAGTAGATTTTTACCTTATATCTATGCTTTGTGTCGAAAGTTAAAAGTTCAGATGAACCCGTAGCCATAAGGCTACATGTGCCCCTGACGCTCCAGATGTCCGGTCCTTGGCGGAGGGGGTCTTAAGTGTCTCACATTGATGGAGAAATGGGATGTTGTCTCCTTATATGGTCGTGGGTAATACTCACCTCTTGAGTTAGCTTTTAGAGTTAAGTTAGAGCCAAGGTCCATTTCTTTATAAGGAAATAGTTGTATGTTGGTCTAAATTGGAATATTTGTTGATGGTGTTCTGCTTTTGGCTACTGACTTTAAAATGGATCTGAAACGATGACATCCATTTGCTCGGTGCTGACAGAAACTAGCTTCATGGCGCGGGGAGAACATGGGACATAAAATAGGATAGGTGTATTGTGCATATTATATAATTAGAGAATTACAATGTCTGTACCATCTAGGAGAATACGAATAGATTTTGTAAGGTCAAGCAAGTTATTGCTATAAAAAAATTTGTTGAACATCGAGCTGGCTGCATTCTCTAAGTTTTGTTTGATATTAGAGAAATCTCCTTCGCTCTGCACCCACTCAATTCTATCCGTCTTTGCTTGTTAGGCTGCTGAGCAATTAAAACTAGGTAGTGCCTGTTGTTCTGTACGTGTACTGTGAGGTTAACTATTTCTAGCCTGTGAAGTAACTAGTAAGGCTAAGATTCATTTGCATCAAATTGGAAGTTTCTTATAGGGCTATGTGCAGTGATATGATAACCTGCTCAACAGCCAAGCAACTTTTGATAAATGAGATTATAGAGTGTTCCGAGGTTAGATTTCTCAAGTTGCTGAATGTGGAAACGATGGAACTTCCTCCCTTACTGAAATAACCTGGAGCTTTAGCAGTGATCTGATCACCCAAATCTCTTAGCTGTCCTTAGGTAATTGTATGCGTGGAGCCGTGGACTATTTTCCACTATAAGCTTTAGTTGTTGCCCCAGAAAAACAGAAGGACAGAAGTATGTCGAATTGATAAATTTGTTTGAAGGAAGCTACATCTAATGCTATTAGGACCTTTCACTATTGCATTTTGATGCTTCTTGAGTATAGAGACCGAGGTCATTAATATTCATAGCGTACAATCCTTTCAAGGCTATTTTGAGTTGTATTCGTTTCTGGATAATAATGTCCTATTGATCTTTCATTGTTTCACGTATTGACATGCTATTCAGTAAAAATTATTTGTTTAGAATTTTCACTTCTACCAAGACTACCTGTGTAATAGTTTGATTAAAGCAATTTTTGGTCCACTTGTTTGCTCTGGTGGTATTTTCTATCCTCGGTTGACAATCCTTGAATGGTCAGTCATTTGAGAAATCTGTGGAAAGCTGAAAAATTATTAGAATTATGATGGTACTGGACAGATCATTGTGTTCCCCCCTTTAATACACTCAGTTTATGAATTCTAAGGACCTATGTTGCTCATCAAAAATGCCGCCAGGTCTGTGTATGTTCTTCCAAAAGTAGTGCATTTTGGAGGATCCGACATGGGTGCGACAGCATTTTTGGAGAGTCCGAGCAACATAGCTAAGGACAGACTTCCCTCGATTTATCAGTCATCTGTGGGAATCCAAGGAAAGCTGGAAAAAATATTACTTTAGGATGGAGTTAGAAAGGTTACTGTGGGTTCCCCCTCAAACTCTAGATACTTATTCACTATGAGTTAAGCCTATGAACTGAGAAACATCCCAATGGTTGTTCTAGTTCAACATTAAGCTGGCTGTGCATAATCAAATTTTACTAGCTTTAGCTGGCATAAAAACTTGGATTTTTCTCTCTAACTATTGTTGGCATCATCTAACGATCTAGACATATTTCCAGGCAGCACCAAAGCAGAAGATTAGGATCAAATTGAGGTCATACTGGGTGCCCCTAATAGAAGACTCTTGTAAGCAAATTATGGACGCTGCAACAACAACAAATGCAAAGACCGTGGGTCCTGTACCATTGCCCACCAAAAAGAGAATTTACTGTGTCCTCAAATCTCCACATGTGCACAAAGATGCACGGTTCCATTTTGAAATAAGAACTCATCAACGCCTTATTGACATTCTCTACCCGACTGCCCAAACAATCGACAAGTTAATGCTGCTCGACCTTCCTGCTGGCGTTGATGTTGAGGTCAAGCTCTGAGAAAATCGCTTCTCCTCCTTGTAGCACTGTAACTCTGTTTATCTCTTACAAGTTTATTTTCAAGTTTTGGATTTTGTACCAGTACATGCCACAATATTTGTTGGGAAAAAGTAGGTAGATGCATATCTTTTTTTGTGTATTAATTTGGATTATTGGATTAGCAAGCACCTATTCAAGCTCGTTTCATCGTATACTGTTACATGTTACCAGATTTGGCTTTGATTATATGCCAGCTTATTGCTTGAGAATGCTGATGACAGTTGATGTGGAGATATAACTAAAAGTGGGAAAAATGGTTCATATGCTGAATAGGAATTACTGGTTCAGGTTTTAGTGTTTAAGTGAAAAGGACTAGAAATAGTTCATATGTTAAGAGTCAAAAACTACTGAGCCGAATTCGTACTATGTATGGTACATCTGCCCCTGATTTCGAAACCATTTTACCTCCGATACAAGACTCGTGTGGTGAGTCGAGAACCTAAATGTGGTTCTTTTGGTCAAGTAGGACCAAAATAAGTGTAAAAAAGAAAGAGTGACATATCTATATATAGTGCTCTTTCAAAGAACGTTATATGTAAAACGCTTTTAATAAAGGCGATATATCTGAAAGCTGATAAGACAGGTATGCATAGCGCGATATATAAAAGCGCTATGTATATACCGTGCTATACATACATAAAAAACGTTCCTCTTCCCTTTCCCCCACGTTTTGAACCAAAAGCTCCCTCCCCCATTTTTAAAAAACGTTCCAGCGGTCCCCCACCCCTCCCCCATTAACGAGATAAAAAAATTGAGTTGACCCTACCCGTCCCACAAAAAGTAAAGAGTGTTGATCCCACATCCTAGCTAAGCCTTCTCTTGTTGTGGGTTGCTTGTTCCGGACTCAAATCTTCAATTCTTCAACTTTTCGAAAAACATAAATCGAGGTATTCCGATTTAGTTTATGTCGAAACTCGTATAAATAATGCATATTAGTTGTTTTGAATGTGTTTCATGTTGTTTTGTATTTTTTTGCGATTAAACTGGTATGTTATTTTTATCCGGACTAAGATATTAGTGTTCTAAAAAAATATAAAAATTGAGAAATCATTATTATTTGTTAATAAAAATGTTAATAAATTACTTTTACTGTTTTATATGTATTTTCGTGAATGTTTTGTAATTAAAATGTATTTGTTGTTTTTATCTAGTTTAGATTATTTATTTGCTTAAAGACTAGTAATATAATGCCCTTTTAGTGTAGTAAAATGTAGAGTATTTTAGCGTAGTATCCCTGTTGTTTAAGTATCTCTTATACTGATAGATCAAAGACAAATTCTGTACAATTACAAAAGTATATTATTTAATTTACAAACAAACATATAAAATTATAAAACTAACATGTAAAAATAATAAAACTAACACATACAAGAATTCAGGATAGTTTGGTGCTACTGGACCTCAAATATCGAGCCTGGAACCCATATGTGAATACTCTATCCAATTAAATATTATATAATTACAAAAATTAATTATTTAATTTACAAAACAAACATATAAAATTATGAAACTAACATGTAAAATAATAAAACTAACACATACAAGAATTCAGGATAGCTTGGTGCTATCGGGCCTCAAATATCGAGCGTGGAACCCATAAGTGAATACTCTGCCCAATTAAATATTGTATAATTATAAAAATTAATTATTTAATTTACAAAACAAACATATAAAATTATGAAACAAACATGTAAAATAATAAAACTAACACATACATGAATTCAGGATAGCTTGGTGCTACTGGGCCTCAAATATCGAGCCTGGAACCCATATGTGAATACTTTGTTCAATTAAATATTGTATAATTATAAAAAATAATTATTTAATTTACAAAACAAACATACAAAATTATGAAACTAACATGTAAAATAATAAAACTAACACATACAAGAATTCAGGATAGCTTGGTGCTACTGGGCCTCAAATATCGAGCATGGAACCCATAGATATATACTCTGTCCAATTAAATATTGTATAACTATAAAAATTAATTATTTAATTTACAGAAAAAACATACAATTAATGTTGTTTAATTTACAGTAGACGACATGGACTTGCCGCCTATGCATCCCGAACCTTTCTACGATGAGCTATTAGTGTTATAAGGCGATCATAGGTTCGCCCACGTATGGGAGGGAGAGTTACTGGCCCAGACTCTCCGCGCTAGGAGAGTGGACGACATGTGGGATTTTATGAAGGACAGAGATCTCCATCCCCGTGTAGTCCAGCGCCTGCGGGTTACGGGATTCTACATGATTTTGGAGATCGGGCGGCTGCAACTCGACTAGTCTTTGGTCATGGCCCTGATAGAGCGGTGGCGACCGGAGACACACACATTTCACCTGCCCATTGGCGAGGCCACCATCACGGTGCAGGACGTGGAGGTTTTATATGGGCTGCCCGCTGCACTGCCTCAGGCCATGAGAGAGATGACGTGTGGGCAGTATTTGGACATGCTGCAGCAACTCACTGATTTCAGGCCACAAGATGAGACTGCACACTCAGGAGCCAGTCGCATGAGTTTGACAGCTATTCGACAACATTTGGAGATATTGCACCCCGACATCACTGGCGAGACAGATGATCTGCATATTCACTGGTATACGAGGTTGCTGTTGCTCCTTATGTTTGGAGGGGTCTTGTTCCCGAACACTTCGGAGAACCTAATCAGCTTGAAATTTCCTCATCATCTTCAGCGGCTAGATGATTTACCCCAGTACATCTGGGGTGCTGCTGTTCTCGCCTACTTGTACAGGCAGATGTGTCGGGTGAGCATGGGCACCCAACATGACGCATGTGGATTTTTGCCGCTGCTACAGTTGACAACATATTCGAATACTCTATTCATTATAACATATCTAGTAAAAATTTATCTTAAATTTTACATCAACTTTGTATGTTAGGTTTGGGCCTGGGAGCGGTTCATGCAGTTGCAGCCACTTCTACCACCATTACCTCCGGATGTACCACCTTCGTTTCTCCCTCTAGCTAGGAGGTGGGTTCTCCGGCGGGGATATCTACGAGGCTCGACATAATCTCACCCTTTGCGGGGATTTGTTGGATATGCTAGAGGGCGCACAGGTAAATGTATACCTAAGTTTACTTGGTATAGCTTCACATGTGTTGCGCATACTCACGTTTTCTGTTGTTATTTAATAGTTCATCTAGACGCCATACAACGGCGACTTGATAGGTGGCTTGCCCGATTATTGCTTGGCCGACCAACTGATTTGGAGCACTACCACCCCGCTGATGTGCCTTGATATTGTGGAGCATCATGCCACGGAGCGGGTACTTCGCCAGTTTGGTCGTCCGCATCTTGTACCGAGAGGGCACACATGGAAGCCCACACTTTTTCAGCGGGATGATCGTTCCAGGGTGGACAACGCATATGTGGCATGGCTAGAGGCGCAAGTCGATACTTGGGACCAGCGAGCTGACCTGATTCATCCCCCCCTTCATAGAGCCGGACTGATATTATTCATGAGTATATGCCTTGGTACCGCCGCGTTACCCGACTTTTCGTCGGGAAACCCATTCATCGAGCTGGCGGTCGGTACGTTTCATACGCCGTGCAACACGAGGCCCTGGTATATTTTTTGGTATTATTACTTATAAAACTGTAACATAGTGTTATGTAGTTTATATTTTATACGTTGTGCAGGCTATTGGCCTACATATAGTCTACCAGATGGGATTGCAGAAGCAACACCATGCCGGCGAGGGAGCGGCCGCTTTGCACGATTATGGCCGGCAGGTTGCAGAGGTGGATGCACGTACACTGCAGCGAGCCCGAGAGGATCAACGCTTAGGACACGACCCTGCTTATGTGGTGCTAGAGTAGTACCAGCGAGGTAGAGGTGTCCCACGAGGTAGGGGTGCCCTACGAGGTAGTGGTGCCCCACGAGGTCGTGGTGGGCGGCGAGGAGGTGGTCCCCAGCAAGGGGGCGTTGAGGCCCCTGTTGATGATGTTGATGCTGATTTGTCGGGTGACCTTCATGAGTCGGACGAGTATCCCAACATCATGCCGTCATATAGCCTTGGGCTGCAGCTCACTCTAGGGACTTCGCATGTGACCCCGTCAGGTCCATTATTGATCACGGGCACGGACATTACCGGAGAGCATTGGGATGCATACTTCCCAGGCCCATCGACCGTTGTTGAAGATCGTCCGACCCGAGATGTGGATAGTGGATGCAAACTGAGTTATGGCTAATCATCGAGGGGTGTTGGAGAGCTTTCACGGGCGCAAATATGTTTTTATTAGTATTTACTTTAAATTTGTTTTTTTCTTTTCTCATTTAGTTTCCATAAATAACTTTATTAATTTTCTTATTAAGGCTTCATCCTCGCCTGTCACGGAGGCCGCTTTGTGCGATGCTGACCTGGCTGCGACAGATGATTATATTCAGGAGCCCAGCGAGATCGTGGTAAGATAATTTAAATTATTGTGACTTAATATATATTTTTCCTATACTGAGCTGACTTATTCTTCTTTAGGTTACTACTGGACCGACGACCCCTTCTACCGATCCTGCCAGCACTACTGATGATCGTGCTGCAGCGCATCCTGCTATAAAGAGGCGACGTGATGAGGATGATCTTAATAGCGTAGCCGGGCGGGATGGGATGCGCCTCAGGCCAGCGGCTGCATTGAAGCACACAGGTTGTGGAACACATTGATTTTTTTTTTTTTTTTTGTATTTGATGTAAATATTATTTTATGTAAATAATAGCAACAATTTTTATTGNACATAAAGATAAAATACAACACTCAACACATACATTGGTTTGTTTAGTCAATTATTCTCTTCTTCAACCACTCAAATTGATCCAACAACTTTTTTTTTTCTTCCACCTCTTTTAGTTTCTCCTTCAACGCCGCAATTTCTCATTTATACATAACCTCATCACGTTCGTATCTTTTGTTAAATTCATGAATATACTACAAAGTTTGTTTGTAGCATTCTTGCTTACAGGGTTCATTAATCCATACCTCAAAATTGCAAAAAGGTTCGTCGGGAATCCTATAAAACTTGTTCACACACATCCAGTATCGGCGCCCAACTTCACCATCATCCCAACAGTCCGCCATCATACATGTTTTGCCGCACTGGCAACTTGGTACATAAAGGCGTTCAGACATTTGTTAAAGTGAAAAAAACCC